GACAGAAAAGGATATTGGGTGGAGTTTGTGGTAAGCCCCAGAGAAAGAATCACAGTGTATGCCTCTGGGATTCTGAAGTAGAGGCATGCCATCAGCCAACTGACAATAAAGACCAAGCTGATCCACTAATCTGCCATAATTTCTAGAAGAACACATAGAGGGAAATTGACTACAATTGGTCATTATCATCCTGGAAGGGCCAGTGGTTCATTCTTACAGTAATAGACACATATTCTTGATACTAATTTGCCTTATCTCACTGAGGTAAGGCAGTGAGCCTCAGTGAGCACCAATATCCAAAGACATTGGGAGTATTTGACCCACTGGTCTGGTGTTTCCATATAATATCATATCAGATCAAGGTACCACTTTACAGTGAAGAAGTTTTGCAAGGGGGCCAAAGAACATGGTACATACTGGCTGTATATCAGACAACATAATCTAGGAGCTGCCAGCATAATAAAGCATTGGAAATATCTACTGATGGTACAACTGAGCTAAAGCTGAAGTGCTTGTTCAGACGCAATATACTACCATTCCCCAGAATGAATTGTGTGCACTGAATTACAGATCTTTACATGGGTCTGGGAACCAAGGCCTGGAAACAGGAGTAGCCCCACTTACTGTCACTCACAGTGACTCACTGGAGTGGTTGGTGCTTCTTGCCTACTGCAACTCTGGACTCTGCAGCCCAAAGGTCCTGGTCCCCAGTGGGACATATTTTCACCAGGGCAAAGCTAGAGTCCCAATAAATTATAAGCTTAAGCTGCCACTAGAACTCACTGTGTCCTTGCACCAACTAAGAAGATGATCACATTGTTGACAGAAGTGATTGACCCTAATCATCAGGAGAAGGCAGGGCTTCTGTTACAAGATGGAAACATAAGGGTGTATGCATAGAACCCAGGTAATCTTCTTAGGTGCCTATTGGTACTCCACAGCCTGATTGTCAGTATAAACGGACAGGTTCAGCAATCATAGCCTGAGAAGGGCATGATGACCCGGTGCTCAGGTCTTCTGGAGATAAATACCTGGGTCATAACATACAGTCAAGGAAACTAGAATGAACAGTGGAGGAGTGAGACAGTAAGTATCCATTTCAGCCTCAATCCCAAATGCTGCAGAGGGACTATGGTTTATCCCATTAACTTCCCTCTCCTAAGGTTCCCCACAGAAAGGGATGTCCACCATAATCCCGGAGGTGTTGTTCCCACAATATACATCAAAAAAGTGGGTCAGAGCAGTGCAAATATTGGACTGTAGAATACACAAATATGCCTCTTGGATCCTCCTTCAAGAGAGGACTTGCTGACCATCTCCATAATTATGATCAGAAGACAGCACCCAGATGTTAGCTCTTTGGGGTCAGCCTCAGTTACAAAGAGGCATCCTACCAAGCTCATGCCCTTCTCCCACATCCAAGGGAATGAGCAAACTGAAGGGATGAATACCAGACCATTTTGGCCCAACTCGGACAAATTTGTCAAGCAATATTCAGTCCAGAGCTCACTGCCAGATTGGCCGAAGCTGCAATATACAAGTACACCTTATTTTATCACACTTCAATGTATTGTGCTTGACAGATGCTCTTTTGCTTTCACTTTACAAATTGAAGGTTTGCAGCAATCTTTTGTTGAGCAAATCTGTTTGGCACCATTTTTTCAACAGCAAGTGCTTGCTTTGTGTCTCTGTGTCACATTTTGGTAATTCTCACAATATTTCAGTCTTTATTATTATTATATCTGTTATGATGATCTGTGATCAGTCAACTTTAATGTTACCATAATAATTGTTTTGGGTGCCACAAATTCCAACCACAGAAGAAGACAAACTTAAGCAAAAAAAAATTATGTGTATTCCAACTGCTCCACCAACTGACCATTTCCCCATCTCTTTCCCTCTCCTTGGGCCTCCATATTCCCTAAGATATAAGATGGAAATTGGACCCATTAATTTATAACCCTACCATAGCTTAAGTGTTCAAGTGAAAGGAAGAGTCTTGCATTTCTCACTTTAAATCAAAAGCTAAAAACGATTAAGCTTAATGAGAAAGGCATGTCAAAAGCCAAGCTAGGCCTCTTGTACCAAACAGCCAAAGTTGTGAATGCAAAGGACACATTCTTGAAGAAAATTAAAAGTGCTACTCCAGTGAACACACAAATGATAAGCAAGCAAAACAGCTTTACTGCTGATATACAGAATGTTTGAGTGGTCTGGATAGAAGATTAAACCAGCCACAACATTCCCTTAAGTAAAAGCCTAATGCAGAGCAAGGTCCTAATTTTCATCAATTCTATGACAGCAGAGAGAGGTAAGGAATCTGCAGAGAGAAAATTTGAAGCTAGCACAGGTTGGTTGATGAGGGTTAAGGAAGAAGCCATCTCCATAATATAAAGGTGCAAGATGAAGCAGCAAGTGCTGATGTAAAAGCTGCAGTAAGTGATCCAGAAGATCTAGCTAAGTTCACCGATGAAGGTGGCTACACCAAGCAACAGATTTTCAGTGTAGATGAAACAGCCTTCTATTGGAAGAAGACTAGGAGTTTCACAGCTAGAGAGGAGAAGTCAATGCCTGGCTTCAAAGCTTCAAAGGACAGGCTGACAGTTTTGTTAGGGACTAATGCAGGTCGTGAATTTAAATTGAAACCAATGCTCCTTTGCCAATCCAAAAATCTGAAGGCCCTTAAGGATGATGCTAAGTCTACTCTGCCTGTGCTCTGCCAATGAAACAGCAAAGCCCTTGATGATAGCATATCTGTTCAGAGCATGGTTTACTGAATATTTTAAGCCCATTGTTGAGACTTACTGCTCAGAAAAAAAATGATATCTTTTCAAATATTATTGTTCACTGACAATACACCTGACTGCCCAAGAGCTCTGATGGAGATGTACAAGGAGATTAATGTTGTTTTCATGCCTGTTAACATGGATGGGTGTTGATCCATTCTGCAGCCCATGGATGGAGTAATTTTGACTTTCAAGTCTTTGTATTTAAGAAATATATTTCATAAGGCTATAGCTGCCATTGATAGTAATTCCACTGATGGATCTGGGCAAATCAATGGAAACCTTTCTGGAAACGATTCACCATTCTAGATGTCATTAAGAACATTCCTGATTTACGTGAGGAGGTCAAAATATTAACATTAAAAGGAGTTTGGAAGACATTGAGTTCAACCTTCACAGATGACTTCAGCAGTGGAAAGAGCTGTAGATGTTATGGAAATAGAAAGAGAACTAGAATTAAAAGTGGAGGACGGGCGCGGTGGCTCAAGCCTGTAATCCCAGCACTTTGGGAGGCCGAGACGGGTGGATCACGAGGTCAGGAGATCGAGACCATCCTGGCTAACACGGTGAAACCCCGTCTCTACTAAAAAATACAAAAAACTAGCCGGGCGAGGTGGCGGGCGCCTGTAGTCCCAGCTACTCGGGAGGCTGAGGCAGGAGAATGGCGTGAACCCGGGAGGCGGAGCTTGCAGTGAGCTGAGATCCGGCCACTGCACTCCAGCCCGGGCGACAGAGCAAGACTCCGTCTCAAAAAAAAAAAAAAAAAAAAAAAAAAATGGAGGCGGAGCTGCAGGAGCTTAACTGCCACTGCACTCTTGAAAGCCTCTAAGCATGGATGTGACTCCGTCTTCAAAAAAAAAAAAAAAAAAAAAAAAAAAAAAAAGTGGAGCTTGAGGATATGATGGAATTGCCACAATGTCATGATAAATCTTGAATGGATGAAGAGTTGCTTCTTATAGGTGAGCAAAGAAACTGGTTTGTTTGAAATGGAATTGATTCCTGATGAAGATGCTGTCAACAATGTTGAAATGACAACAAAGGACTTAATACATTACATAAACTTAGTTGATGAAGCAGTGGCAGAATTTGAGAGGACTGACTCAAATTTTGAAAGAAGTTCTGCTGTGGGTAAAATCCTATCAAACAGCATCACATGCTAGATAAATATTTGTGAAAGGAAGAGTCAATCGATGCAGCAAACTTAATTGTTGTCCTATTTTAAGAAATTGCCACAGTCACCCCAACCTTTAGCAACCCCCACCCGGAAGAGTCAGCATCTGTCAACAATGAGGCAAGAACCTCCACCAGCAAAAACATATGGCTCATTAAAGGCTCAGAGGATTGTTACTATTTCTTAGCAATAAAACATTTTTAATTAAGGTATTGCATTTTTGGACATAATGCTGCATATTTAACAGATTACAGTATAGTGTAAATATAACTTTTTTATGTACTGGGGAACCAAAAATTTTGTGTGACTCACTTTATTGTGGTATTCCTATTATTGTAGTGGTCTGGAACTGAACCTGTATTATGTCCCAGGTACCTCTGTACTTGTATTTCTCATCTGCACAACCAACTTCCTTGTCTTTTTTCACAGCTGTTGGTCCCTAACAAAATCTTGTACTTGAAACTCCAACTCAGTGTCTGCTTCTGGAGAACTCAACCTACAACAACAAAGTAGCTACAGAAGGCACCTAACACTCCTAGGGCCAGGAGAACATAAAAAAGAAGTTGGGTTTACTAGAGCAGAGATGATTAAAGAACATTCCCTGCAGAGCAAGGACCCAGACCTCTAAAGATGGCACAGTGAACAGCTGCTCCTTCTTCAAGAACTCAGAGGACCACAACCCTGCTCACTCCAAGGCTGCACCTTGGACCCCTGAGGAGGTCAGTGTCCAACTGCTGCTGGTATTTCTAAGAAAAAATGAGGGTGGTTCTAAAAGTGACAACAGAACTGGAATCTGAAACCAAATATGATTACCAGAGTGAACGGGTCCAGCCAAAATAATAGTGACACTCATGGTAAGCACACAGGAAAGAAAGCTCCCTTCTTCCTTCATCATCACTCCAGGCTACTTCTACTGTCCCCTTTGGCACAGCTAAATGTGCCAAACAGAAATGAGGTGTGTACAGGCACATCCTGAACATTACATAGTACAGCAAAAAAAAAAAAAAAAAAAAAAAAAGAGAGAGAGAGAGAGAAGGGTTAAAACTGAGGGACAAGAGCTTGAAACTATCTTTTCTGTGCCTTTGCTCAGGAAACATAAAGACACAACTTCTGGGAAAAGGAATCTTTAATATTGCTTAAGACACTGTAGAGTAAGAATATGCTAGGAATCCTTTGCTGTGATAGATAATGCTTGTGATCCTGACATGAAATGTCCATGACGTTTTATTTAAACAGTGAGACATGCATTCATATTTTTCTATTAAGAAAAATTAGATATTAAAAATGAAGTATGAAGCTTAGTCTCCTTCTTTTTCCCATTTCTCTTATCCTTCTTTATCTTCTTTACTTTTTGTGCGTTTCTTTAAAAGCACACGTAAGCAAAATAAAAAAGCAACCAAAAGAAGAAGGCACAATAGTGACAGGTAACCCAACTTTCCCATCACATTTAATCCTTCCATGTTGTTCTTAGGAGGTGGGCCACTATCAGCACTACCTCCATAGCCTTTGTCCTTGCAGTAGGGGGGTGCCCATTCACGGTTGCAGTGACAGTGTTGTTTGTTGTTGCAGACTCCCCTCATGTTGCAGGTCTTAGGCTGACAGACTTGTGACAGATGAACCATACTGGCACACTTCTTACGGATGCAGATCTTTTCTGGACCACATACTGTGCCATCTTTCACCTCACCAATATCAGGTATAGCCATCCCTAAGTGATAATCAGTGCCCCAGCAAGTGGTGTCATTGAGGTGAAACTGCTGCACTGTGGAATGCTCTAGCAGATTGGGAATTACTCCTACATTTTCACACTGAACCCTCCCACACAGGATATCAGGGGACCAACATTTTACATATGTTGTACCTACAATACCACAGTGACCAAAACGGTTTCCTTGGGTGTTGATTTCTTGGTAGCAACTCTGAGATGCACTCCTTGCACCTTGGCCAAAAATCTCTTTACACTGTGTATCATGGTTATTACATGTCTTTTCATAGCAGAAGGCATTCACATTACAAGAGATCCCATCCTGCACATACACATCATCTGGGCATTGATGGGATGTCCCATTGCACCACTCTGGAAGGTCACATTCACCAACTTTTTGTCTACATAAAGTTCCCGATGGCAGAAATTTGCAGTCTTTGCAACACATTCCAAAAGCACAAGCAGCCCCAGGACGTAAAGTACAGTTTAACAGACAACAGGGATCTTTTGCACACTGCTGTATGGTTCCACAGTCACATTCCTCTCCTTCTTCAACAACTAGATTCCCACAGTACTTCAGTCTAAATATATTCCCTGGATATGGAGGAGGTTGAATACATAATCCACTACTGATAGTATTGTCCCAATATTGGGCATAACTGCAGTTGCTAAATTTAGTTGTTAACTTTCTATAGGCATGCATTATGCACCACCGTAGCTCACACACACACCACTGGGTGTCATGTTGCATACCCAAATTGTGACCAAGCTCATGGCCCAAGGTAACTGCAAAAATGACCAACTTCTCATCTTCAAAAACATCAACTCCACTATTAAAAGGATTCAGGCATATTCCTTTAACATATGCAACACCAAGCGTCGTGCCTTGTGTGTCTTTTATGAAAAGATGTGCAACATCATGTTGTAATCGATTATTAAGGTTATAATTCTTCCAAACAGAAAATTCCACTAAAATATGATCTATGTCTCCATTGGTGGGAAGTGGATTTGATGCAGTCCATATATCAATTCCAGTCAAAATTACATCAACCTCCAAAGGATGATAGAAGGAATCCACTATATTGACAACATTAAATACTTCATGCTGCACTGTTGATGCATTACTTTGAGAGAAATGATATCTAACATTATCCACGACCACCACCAGCTCAACAAACCGCCGATGGGTCCACCAGCCCACAAAAGAACTTTGCTTCAGAGTGAAATTATATGACAATTGCAACTCCAACTGGCGTGCTATTTTCTCTTCTGTTAACCCACATCTCATAGGTGGAAACTGTGTATCGTCACTGTCTATCTTATGTACTAGGTGTTCAAATGTGGCAGAAATACTAATTGGCTTGATTTCATAAACAAGGTCATTTATCTGTAGCATTCCAAGAAAGCCCCCAGAACAGGTACTAAGGGCAACCAAGGACTCAGGGACCTCCTCCACATAACCATGGTAGTAGCAGTCATCCTGGATGAAGGGCTGATCCTGGAGCAGGGCATGCTGCTCCGTGTAGGTGAACACAGGGAGGTGTGCGGCAAACAACAGCTTCTTTACCCTCATGTGGACAATGTATCTCTGTCCCCCCAACCGCAGGCTATAGGAGAGCCATCCAGGAGCCTTTGCACCTCTGCCCCTGCTGATCACCTTCAAAGGGATCACCACTTCTGGAGAAGTGAAACGCTGGGAGGGCCTGGCCTGAGAGTGGCCAAAAACAGACAAAAACATCCCAAACCAGAGCAGCAGAAGAGCAACTCTGATGTGCACCAGGGGCTCACCCACTGCCATTATGAAGCTGTCATTATGGAGCCATCTGTCTAGAGCAGAAGAGGACAAGGTGTGAGGCACTGCTGGTCTGGCTCCTCCCTCTGAGCTGTTCAGGGTGCATGGCTGACCTTTAGGGATCTGGGGATCTGTGTCCTGGTGGAGCTGGACCATCAGAGTTGCAGTGCTGAAAATAAAAACTGAAAGAGCCAGGATGGGGTGGGTGGGATAGAAAGGGAGAAAAAGAGAGAGAAAAAAGGCAAGGTGATTCCTGCATTTGGACCATATTTGAAGCAATAAAATACATAGGATTCTCTTAATACATATGGCCAAGAAGATTTCCAGATGGGAGAGATTGCACATAGGTGAGTTATTTTCAAATTTTCATGATGGATACCTAAAGAGTCATTATATACTGTTCTTTAAACATGTAAAATGGCAAGACATTTTCCATTTTATTTTAATGTATGTATTTCTTTTATTATTTCTTTATTTTACAGATGGGGTTCTGCTCTGTTGCCCAGGCTGTAATGCAGTGACACAATCATAGCACATTGCAGCCTCAAATTCCTGGACTCAAAAGATCCTCCCACCTTAGCCTCCAAGTAGCTAGAACTGCAGGCATGCACTGCAACACCCAGCTAATTTTTCTTTTTTATTTTTTTTGGGGGGTAGAGATGGAGTCTCACTATGTTACCCAAGTGGGTCTCAAACTCCTGGTCTCAAGTGATCTTCTTGTCTCAGCCTTCCAAAGTACTGGGATTACAGGCATGAGCTGTCACACCAGGCAAAATTGTTCATTTTAAAGACACTGGATTCTGACACAAATCTTTCTTCCAACCAAAAACCTACTGGCAACCTCACATTCAATAAGCATATGGACAACACATTCAAAATCCACCATTTTGTGTTCCTTTATTCGTGTAGTTTGCTCCATCTCCCCTCTCCTATCCCAGACATTTTATGTATACCTAATTCTGCTCTAAATTGGTAGTAAAAAAAGCCCCACTAAAAGGGCTTATTAGTATTGAGAGACCTCCTCCAATCAAGACTTTTTAACTTTATAATATATTCTTATCTGCAGAAAAGCCCTGGGCATTCCAAGGAAGGAAGGCATGTGATGGGGTAACAGGGAGTGGGGCAGCTGTTTTGGGGCAGGGCACACAGCCAACTAGTATCATGATCTCTATCATAAGAGGCTCCTCCTGGTCATGTCAATACAGATTGGATTCTATTTTTCACATGGCTGATGAGTTACCTGGATTGATTTCAATCTCAATGTTCCAAAGAAAGCCTACACAGAGGAGCTTAAGCCTAGAGTCCGTTCATTATAATGTTCAGAAGACGACAATCTGAGTAGACTTAAAAACCTCATCACTGTTGAAAACAAAGTTTGGCTCAAGTAAAAGCTAACTTTGCTCGGTTCCTGACTTTCACTTAAAAATGTTGTTAATGATTTACTCAATATTTGAAATCAAAACATTAAAACAAATTTGGAGACACGTTGTTAACATATACTGGCGGCCTCAATATTCTAAGAGCACAAATGAACATGTGCAACATCCTTAGCATTATGATGTCAAGAAAACCTGCATCCCTCCGTGTAGGTGTCCAGAACTAATGGATGGCCACCAGATGCCACAAGAGGAAATCAGGATCACTGGATGAGACCTCTTAGGGCAAGTATATCGGATACAGGTGAAATCCCAATTTAGATTTCCTCTCCATAGCTCTCCTCATAATATTCTTGGTATGTGTCATAGAGTTTGGAATATTAAGATGGAAATGGGTGAACTGAGAGAGGATCATGAAAGAAAAAGCCTTGTAGAGATGATAAAGCCTGTATTATGTATAGTCAGAAATATGATGAGGTTATAATACAAAAGTTTATTCCAAAGAATCTGTGATAGGCCAGTCCTTGTCATCAATGCATTACTCCAAAGACAAGTCTTAAAGGAACATTGCCTTCCCATTAATTTTGTGAACGGGTGTATTCTGAAGGCCTTTCCTCTAATATTGGAATTTCAACCACTCTGAGAATTTCAACCACTAATATTGGAATTTCAACTGGGATTTCAACCACTGTGAGAATCTTCCTCTGCATCAGTAATTAACTCTTTCTTCTAATTCCAGTAACAATTTAAAACGCATCAACACCTGTCTTATGATCTCTCCCCTCACTCACAGTGACAGCCTAATTTCGTGTTTCTCAGACTCAGGTCACAAACTGTAAATCAATTTAGTGGGCCACAACCAAAGGAAACACAATCGTGTAGAAAATATCAGAGGGTTTTACACAGATGCTTACCAAGACCTTCACACACTGTAACGAAAGTTTATATTTAATTTTCTGTGTGTGTTTGTATCTGCATACTCCCATGCTCACTGAGTCTCAATGTAAACTAAGCTAAATTTCTTATTGTGGTCACAGTCAAAATCCATTGGAAGAGCAGTAGCCAAGCAATGAAAATGAAAGCTTTAGAGAAAAACTCTGTCCCTCTTTCTTTGCTGAAAATAAAATCCTATCTGAAACTACAGTCATTCTTATCTCTCCCTGGGATCTTGGATTCAATTTCAGTGAAAGATATATCTTCCTCCAGTTCCAGCTCATAGCCCCTCTATCTGTACTATGAATCCTATAGCCCTACCTACTTGAAGATTGACTGTCAGATTTATCCTCAACTTTTGCTTCATTACTTTCTCTTTACCTCCAGTACATGAACATGCTCAAATCTCTACTAACCTTAAAATATTTATCTTCCTTTATTCTCACATACTCCCATGGCTACCAGCTTACCACTAGAACTTTCTCTCTTTAATGGACAAGAATCACTTACCAGCAAACTGAACAATTATGCCCATAGTTCTTTCAATGGCCACGGTCATCAGTGGTCTCTATTGCCCCTCTCAAAAAACAAATGTAACTGACATCTCACATGGCGAAAGTAAACAAATCTCTGTGGATCTCACAGAGGATTAGGTTATTTATCTCACTGCTTAGCAACAATGTCCTCTCAGTTACAGATCACACCACGTGGCTTTAAAGTCAATTGACTCTGCCTCCACCACCTCTATCCAGTTTTCTTTTTCCATCCCTCCCCAACATGCAAGTGTCAGGTTAGCCTCTTCAACCCCATCCTATGAGCTCCACACATAGCATATGCTCACTTCTGCTTTAGGAACTTTGTTCATGCTCTACCCTCATCTAAATAATCTAAACCTTTCTCATTCTTGAACCACATTATAGTATCCTTCAATGTTCAGATTAAATTCAACTTCTGCTTTGCATCATTAATATTCTATAAACTTCTGAATAAGCATCATATCCTGTGTTTGAAATATTTATGTATGCGGTCTGCTTTTTTGTGTGTGGTTCTACCACATCACCAGTTAAATTACAATTTTGTAGAAAAATATAGCAGAAATATTGTTAATGATGTAAAGTGTTCATATTTTTGGCTAAAGAAAGCTTAGTATCCTTAATATAATTATGTTAAACCTGCATAAAACAAAAGTGAATGTGAAGTTCAATACAATTTAAAAGCAACTGAATGATGATGCACTCGCAGTGGTGAGGCGGGTTGGAACAACAATTGGGAGATAATTGTATATTTTTGCCATCTACTGTCTTCTTTTTTAGATATGGTTGTGAGGAAATGGATCAAAAAGTGAATAGATAAGGATCAATTAGGTCCATCTTCTAAGAAAGTCCTTTTCATTTTCTTATCATGATTGTATTAATAACAGGATACTTTCTTTTCATGATTATATTAATCACTGGATACATAGGTTTCCTCTAATGTATGGGGGTTGAACTGTTCCATATGTCCAGGCAGAATTGGAGCATCCTCTCTTAAGGTGTGTTTAAAAAAAAAAAAAAAAAAAGGTTTCCTCATTCCAGAGCTTAGTGGACATAACCTGACCATGTCAGATTTGACTGACAATGATGAAAGAAATTGTCCAAGAATTTAGAGGTTTGGGAAAATACACAAACCCAAACCTGGAAAGGTTTTGACAAGGACATAGTAGATGATGCTATAGAAAAGAGAAAACTATAAACAGGCTGATAGATGGCCACATGAAAAGAGAGAGCCTCCTTGAGTCTGACAGAATGGGCAGTCGCCTGGAACATCTGTGTTAGAGAATGACTGAAGCTTCCTAAAGCAGGTGTGACTACATCTTGTTTGTGGTAAAAATAATTTTATATTCATCTAAAAGCAAAATAAACTGTTACAAGAGACAAAGGATGAGACTATATAATGATAAAAGGGTTCAATTTATCAGGAAGATATAACAGTTAGAAATATATGTGCCCAACATTGGAGAACCCAAATATATGAAGCAAACATTGACATAATTTAAGGGAGAAATAGATAGCAACACAATAATAGTAAAATATTTCAATACCCTATTTTCAATAATGGATAGAACATCCAGACAGAAAATCAATTTAAGAAACTGACTTGAACCACACTATAGACCATATGGACCTAACAGACACACACAGAACATTCTACCCAACACATCAGAATACACATTCTTCTCAAGGGCACACAAAATATTCTCCAGGATAGTTCACATATTAGGTCATAAAACAAGTCTTTTTGTCCTTGTGATAGTCCTTGCCTTAGTTTACTGAGAAACCAAACACTCATAGGTGGGAATTGAGCAATGAGAACACTTGGACACAGGAAGAGGAACATCACACCACAGGGCCTGTCATGGGGTGGGGGCAGGGTGGTGAGGGATAGCATTAGGAGATATACCTAATTTAAATGACGAGTTAATGGGTGCAGTACACCAACATGGCACATGTATACATATGTAACAAACCTGCACATTGTGCACATGTACCCTAGAACTTAAAGTACAATAAAGAATGAAAGAAAAAAAAAAACAAGTCTTAACAAATTTAACATTGAAATCACCCCAAGCATCTTTCTGAGCACAACAGAATGAGACTAGCTATCAATAATGTAATTAAATCTGAAAAATTCACAAATACACTCATTCATCACTTAACAATAGGGACAAGTTCTGAGAAATGTGTTGTCAAGTGGTTTTGTCATTGTGCAAACGTCATAAAGTGTACTTCTACAAACCTAGAATGGTATAGCCTACTATACACCTGGGCTATATTGGATAGCCTATTGTTCCTATGCTACAAACATGTACAGCATGCTACTATACCGAATACTGTAGGCAACTGGAATACAATGGTAAGTATTCGTGTATATAAACACATTTAAACATAGAAACAGTAAACATATGGCATAAAAGATAAAAAATGGTTCACTTGTTTAGGGCACTCATCATGAATGGAGCTTGCAGAACAGGGAGTTTCTCTGGGTAAGTCAGTAAGTAAATAGTGAGTGAATGTGAAGGCCTGGGACATTACTGTACACTACTGTAAACTTTATAAATACTGTGCACTTAGGCTACAATTAATTTATTTTTAATATTTCTTTAATAATAAATTAAACTTAGCTTACTGTAACTTTTTTACTTTATAT